ATTGCAAGGGACCTGTGTCTTTGGGGGCTCAGCAGTCAATGCTGCATAAGTTTTTCCGAGGAACAAACGATTGAGCATCTCCTATGCCAGGCTGCCTCCTTCCTCAGACATTGAGCCCTGGGAGGCAGCGATGCCCACTCACCTCTCTCTGCAGCGTCTCCTTCTCTCCCTGGAGGGCCTCCAGGGAGGCCTGCATGTGGATTAGCTCGTCCTCACGGCTGCCCAGGGCCAAACGTAGCCAGGCGTTCCTTTCTGCCAGGTGGGCCACCTCCCGCTGGCAGCCCCCTGCCCCCTCCAGCTCCAGGCAGGGCCTTGGTTCCCCCTGGATTCTGCCCTCCATCTCCACTGGCCCAGGACAGCTGAGGGGCTGGCAGCGCCAGGCGGCAGCTGCAGCCTCCAGTGAGCTCAGAGCATGCTGGAGAGTCTGAAACACGTCGGGGGCCCCAGGTGCAGCGAGGGCAGCCTCCTCAGCCTCTGGGGCATGGTGGGCTTCTTCTGCAGGCTCCTGGGGCCCATCGAGGGCTGGGGCCAGCCCCCTGCTAGAGTCCCCATCAGCCTCTTTGTCAGTTCTGTGAAGTGAGCGATGGAAGTTTCTGGAAATGGGGATATCTGGGGCGTCTGGCACACAGGGGTTGTGTGTTAACACTGGCAGTGCATTATGCAGGGCCTTAAACATCAGGCTGCGGCAGGCAATGGGAAGCCATGGTGTGCGTGTGAGCAGGGGTGGTGGTAGGGGACACAAGCAGAGCTCTGGGTAGGAAAGAGCTGGAGTGGGAGACGCGGACCAAGCGGGCCTTACCTGCTCCTCGGGCCTTGCCCACTCTCCTCTGCCTCAGGGCCCAGCAGCTCAGGCTTGCAGCTTTCCTGAGATGGCACAGGGCCCAGCTCAGAGCTTCCGCTGGCTGCCTCGGCCTCCTCTGAACTCTCAGCCACAGGGTCCAGCTCACCCTGCAAAGGACCATCAGGGCTCTGAGCTCCCAGCAAGGGGGCCCGCTGAGCTGGCTGTGGCAGGGAGCAGGGGCACTTACAGGTGGAGCATGTCTCCCTCGCCGGCTTCGGGGCCGTGTGGCCCGGGCGCTCATTGCTGTCCACAGATCAGTGTCTTCTGAAACCCCTCCCTTGTCCCCCCTAAAACCACAGCCTGATCTCAGCTCTTGCCTTTGTTGTCCTGGCAAATAGCCTCAATTTCCTCTTCTGTGAAATGGGCATGGACTTCTCCCCTCCAGAAGGAGTCCTGAGTAATCAATGTTGATGTGGCACGTTTCAATGCCTCTGTTGACAAACAGCTCACTACCTACCAAGGCTGCCCTGACCTCCCCCTTCTCTTCTGCCTCCTTTATTTTTCACTGCCTTGGTGCTCCCCTCCCTCCTCTATCTGGGCCTAGGATGAGGACTTCAAGAGTCCTCTCTTTAAAAAAAAAAGAGTCCTCTCTCCTCCCCAGGGCCCTCCCTAACCAGGGGACCCGATCCTGGGGTTGGGTCCCCTCAGCCCACTCCACTTCTCTGTTCCTCCGGGAGCACCTTGTCAGAGGCCTGAGTCCCTGGACACTCTTGGGGTCACTGGCCACTGCCCGCTCAGGCCAGGGCTGCCCAGGCTGGCCTGGGAGGGGCCGGGAAACAGGAAGCCCCCTCCCCTGGTCACATGACTTGTTATTGTTCAGTTTCCTTTTCGAGGACAATGCCTTCCTCCAGTCCCAGCAGAGGACATGTGTCCAGCTCCTGAGATGTCTGTCTCTCCTCACCTCAGCCTCCAAGGCCACGGCTCTTCTACCTCCGAGCCTCAATTTCCTTATGTGTAAAATCGGGAATAAATATAGCATTTACCTACAGTGTCATGCAGTGTTTTGTTTGTGTTTTTTTTTTTTAAGGAGAAAAAAAAAAGAAGTTTATTGGAAGCATATGAAAATCCGGGGAATAAATATAGCATTTACCTACAGTGTCATGGAGTTTTTTGTTTGTTTGTTTTTAAGGAGAAAAAAAAAAAGAAGTTTATTGGAAGCATATGAAAATCCTGCCAGAATCAAGAAAACACTAAATAGCCAGACCTTACAAAGACTAGGAGCTGGCTCTGGCCAGGTAGCTCGGTTGGTTGGAGCATCATCCTGTGCAGCGAAGGGTTGTGGGTTCCATTCCCAGTCAAAACACACACCTAGATTGCAGGGTGGGTACAGGAGGTATCCGATCAGTCTTGCCTGTTTTATTTGCCCAGTACTTGACAAGTGCTCAATTAATATCTTTTTCTTCTTCTTCCTCTTCTTAAAGGATACCTTTCAGCATTTCATATAATACTGATTTGTTGGTGGTGAACTCCTTTAGCTTTTTCTTATCTGTGAAGCTCTTTACCTGACCTTCAATTCTGAATGATAGCTTTGCTGGGTAAAGTAATCTTGGTTGTAGGTTCTTGGTATTCATCACTTTGAATATTTCTTGTCACTCCCTTCTGGCCTGCATAGTTTCTGTTGAGAAATCAGCTGACAGTTGTATGGGTACTCCCTTGTAGGTAACTGACTGTTTTTCTCTTGCTGCTTTTAAGATTCTCTCTTTGTCTTTTGTTCTTGGCATTTTAATTATGATGTGTCTTGGTGTGGTCCTCTTTGGGTTCCTTCTGTTTGGGGTTCTCTGTGCTTCCTGGACTTGTAAGTGTATTTCTTTCACCAGGTAGGGGAAGTTTTCTGTCATTATTTCTTCAAATAAGTTTTCAATATCTTGCTCTCTCTCTTCTTGTGTCATGGAGTTTTAACAAGCAATTTGCATGTGGCCAGGCACCATCAGGAAAATGAATCACAACACACACTCTTTTTTTTTTTTTTTTAATTTCAGAGAGGAAGGGAGAGGGAGAGAGAGAGAGAAGCATCCATGATGAAAAAAAATCATTGATCAGCTGCCTCCTTCACGCTCCCTACTGGGGATAGAGCCTGCAACCCGGGCATGTGCCCTGACTGGGAATGGAACCATGGCCTCCTAGTTCATAGGTCGATGCTCAACCACTGAGCCACACCGGCCGGGCGCAACATGCACTCCTTGTGCTCTATCACCAGTCCATGTCTGCTTCCTCTGCCAGCTGCTGTTTCTCCTACAAAATGCTGAATTCCTCAGAGCTACATGGTTTTTACATCCTGCCCACTTTACCTGCATCCACCTCTAATGGGCTTTCTTGTCTTCACCCATAATTACAGCCCACACCTCTCTTGTCCCACCTTGAGGCCAGCCCAGCCCCCCACCCCTGTCCACTCCCTTCCCCACCCAGGCCCCAGAGACAGAGATCTGATTATTCACTTCCCTTGCTCACACTCCCTCCTTGGCTCCTCAATGCCCTTGGGAAACATTTCAAGCTCTTCAACCTGGCATTCAAAGCCCTTCAAAATTGTACGTGCACCCTGACCGGTTTGGCTCAGTGGATAGAGCATCGGCCTACGGACTCAAGGGTCCCGGGTTCGATTCTGGTCGAGGGCATGTGCCTTGGTTGCGGGCACATCCCAGTAGGGGGTGTGCAGGAGGCAGCTGGTCGATGTTTCTCTCTGGTCGATGTTTCTAACTCTCTATCCCTCTCTCTTCCTCTATATAAAAAATCAATAAAATATATTTTTTAAAAAAGAATAAGAAGGGCCAGGAGCAATGTAATCCTGGGTGGACTTCTTGAGGAAGCTCTCAGATATTTGTTTCCTTGGGTAATTACCTGACTACACGTATGCATGTGTATGTGCGTGTGTGCATGCATGTGTGTGTGTGTGTTTTTGAAGGCAGAAAGGGTCTACTAAGAATATCCCTAGTACCCCCGATACATCCCATCACCTCAGCAGCCACCTGCCATGAAAGCAGATGCAGCTTGAGGTCTGACATTCAGCTGACTTCTGTTTATCGAGTGTGGAGAAACTTTTGTTCCCTCGCACTATAAGGCACGGACCATGAGAGATTTGGGGAAAAGGTCACCCAGATAGTAAGTAATTCTGCTGAGCTTTGAAGTGAAAATGCCCAGGAACCTCTATTCTGCGCTTGCCCTTTGACGGGTGTGCGCGGGACTAACGAACACTGGACAGCAGAGCTGGTGCCCGGCTCCTGCTCGTCAGAGTCTCATCTGGAATCAAAATCATATTTTATCTTTGTTCCATCGTCTCCCTGTGTTCAGGGAAAAGCACTGTGACCATCTCATAGACAGAAAGAAAAAGTATGAGATACACCCCACGGGAAACCTGAAGAGCTAAAGAATGCCATCTTGATGGAAGAAAATCCCTCTTCAAGTTTTATTTAAAAGAAGGATGTGCCTGCAACCAAGGTACATGCCCTTGACTGGAATCGAACCTGGGACCCTTGAGTCCGAAGGCCAACGCTCTATCCACTGAGCCAAACCGGCTAGGGCCAGATACATTCTTGACAATGAAGTCCACGTTGTCCTCAGGAAGAGTTTCACTCAGTACTACATGGTTCATTTCAACACTTTAATTTACTTCAGTTGTAACACTGACTGGAGCAAAGGTGACCACCAGGCCAGACTGGAGAATGCTAGTCTCTACTCAGCCCACAGGGACAGCACCGACATTACGGATTTTGTAGCCATCCTGGAGGGGCAGGCACAAGGGCTTGTCAGTTAGATGAGTTGGTGGCAAGATGCAATGCAGCTTCAAGCACGATTCCCCTGGTGTTGCCATCTTTACCGGTGATTTTCCAGCCCTTGAACCAAGGCATGTCAGTACCTGGCTCCAGCATGTTGCCACCATTCCAACCAGAAATCGGCACCACGGCTACAGTATCAGGGTTGTAGCTAATTTTCTTAATGTAGGTGCTCACTTCATTTGCTATTTCCTTGTATCTCTTCTGGCTGTAGGATGGCTCAAGGGAATCCATTTTGTTAACACCAACAATTAGTTGTTTCACATCCAATGTGTAAGCCAGAAGGGCATGCTCACAGGTTTGCCTATTCGTGGAGTTATCAGCTTAAAATTCACTAACACCAGCAGCAATAATCAGAATAGCATAGTCAGCCTGAGATGTGCCTGTAATCATGTTTTTTTAAATATTTATTTTTATTTATTTCAGAGAGGAAGGGAGAGGGAAAGATAAGAAATGTCAGTGATGCCTCCTGCATGCCCCCTACTGGGGATCGAGCAACAACCCAGACATGGGCCCTTGAGCAGAATCAAACCCGGGACCTTTCAATCCACAGGCTGATGCTCTATCCACTGAGCCAAACCGGCTAGGGCATGTAATCATGTTTTTTATAAAGTCTCCGTGTCCTGGGGCATCAATGATGGTCACATAATACAGTGGGGCCTTGACCTACGAGTTTAATTTGTTCGGTGACAGAGCTGGTAACTCAAATTACTTGTATGTCAAATCAACAGTGAATGAGTGAGACACGTGATGCTGGGCTGATGTGGCGTTCACTGTGACGTTCGCTGTGCCAACTAGCGGTGGGGTATCTGAAGCTGGCTCGTGACCCGAATTTTAACTCGCAACTCAAAGCAAAAAATCGGCCGAAAGACGGCTCGTATCTCGAAAAACTCGTTAGTCGGACACTCGTAAGTCAAGGCCCCACTGTACTTACTGGTCTCAATTTTCACAGGGAGGTATCAATGGTGATACTACACTCAGGTTCAGCTTTCAGTTTATGTTTCCAAGACCCAGGCATACTTGAAGGAGCCCTTTCCCATCTCAGTAGCTTCCTCACATGTTTGATATTTCTTTGGCCCATCCCACCACATTTGTAGAGCAGATGCCAGTAGTGGTAGACTTGCCAGAATCTGCGTGTCCAACGATGATGATGTTGATATGAGTCTTTTCCTTTCCCATGTTGGCTTACATTTAGCAGTGGCTTTCCTGACACCTGTGTTCTGGTGGCAAACCCTTTGCAGAACAGTCAGAGTAGATTTTAAATAGTTTTGGGGCTAAGGGAAGAAGTGTGCCTGAAAAAGGAAGGGTGGTTTGAAATAGTTCCGGCTTATTTTTTAATTTTTTTAAAATTGAACTTATTGGAATCACGTTGGTTAATAAAATTATATAGGTTTCAGGTGTACAATTCTATAACACATCATCTCTATATTGTATTGTGTGTTCACCACAAGTCAGCCTTCCGTCTTAGTATCTTTTTCTTTTTTTAAAAAATATATTCTAGCCCTAATCGGTTTGGCTCAATGGATAGAGCGTCGGCCTGCGGACACAGGGGTCCCAGGTTCGATTCTGGTCAAGGGCATGTACCTTGGTTGC